CTTCCGATTCGAAGCCTTAGTGATACCGCGTTCCGCGTGCACGAGGGTGGGGTGAGGACTCCCCCACTTCACCCCCTCCCCCTACCTAAAAGGGATCCGGGAGCAGGGAGGATAGTCGTCAAAGTGGCCCAGGATCCCACCCCACTCCACTTGACTCCACTCCAGTGCGGCGACGGTGCCCCTACGGGTGCAACGCAAAGGGTAGGAGCGCGTTGAGGGTAGGGGGGAAGTATCATAGGTGGGAACCTACCGCGAAATAGAGCTCGAGACTCGGTTCCTCTTTCTCTCGCGCGCGTTACCTCAACGTAGCGTATACCGCGAGAATGGAACGAGAAAGAAGGCGAATTGACAAGGGTAGGGGAATGTCAAGAAAGAAGGGAGTCGAACCTCGGCACACCGACGTTCCCCGGGGAAGGGGAACGCGAAAACGTCAGGGGGCGAAGGTACCCGTAGCCCGTAGCGTAGCGGGCGGCCAGACACGGCGCACGCCAGACGAATTGGGGCAATGATGACAATGATAACGATAACTGAGGCAATCCCCACCCCTTAGTTAGAAACGTTCGTAGGATCCGTTGACGGGAAGAGAGAAAGAGGTTAAGATATTCGCGGATGTGGGTGTACCCGTCGTGCGCGCGCGTACGCCACTCGAGGGCCAAGGGTGTTATTTCGAAGGGGAAAGAGGGAGAGAGAGAGGGAGAGAGAAAATGTTCTTTGAATGAATTACGAATTTCGAGCTCTCGGTCGGACACGAGACGCTGCGCCTCACTCGTCGACACCACGCAACGTGTTTTTCGTTGTACGCGGAATGGCGTATGCGACTGATCGGACAGCTCCGTTCTCGCTCGTACCGACTACCGACGCTAGTCTAGATTCGGCTAGACGCTCTCGTAAGACGCGCATGTCGTCATGGCGCAACGATTCTCCTAAGGTTAGTCGAGGCTAAGTTTATCTTTGTCTCTCACACGCGCGCTCGCTCGTTTGCGCTCTCTCTCCCTCCCTCCCCTCTCTGCTCCTTCCGCCCGTTGCCTTTCCTTACATACTCAAATGCCTCGGATACGTCGTATCTTTATTTCAATCAAGAAGCGCTCCGCGAAAGCAAGTACCGCGCATGTTAATGCAGATTTTTCGCAAGATCCGATCCATCTAGCTAGGCAAGCTAGGAGCGTTTCGCATTACTACGTGCGGGACGCTGCACGCCAAACGGATCGGCGATTGTCGCGCAACGAGGCGACGTGACGCGACGTCCCGCATCGTTTCCTTTCCGCTTTCCTCCTCACGGCTCTCCGCCAGGCTCGCCATGCCATGCGATGCGATGCGATGCGATGCGACGCGACGCGACGCGACGCGACGCGACGCACATACGTTCTTGGTTTCAACTATTGGAGGAAAAAGGAGTTCCCCAAGGGAAATCGCACGTTGCAAAAGTTTCGTTCCTCTTCCGTCCCGTTCGACTCGGCCGACGGCGTCGGTCAAGTCGGTGAATGAAAGTTGTGCACAGCGTGGCTTTCATACGCTGCGTACGCCCGCCATGTTGGAAAAAAAGATACACGTAAGAGCCAAGAGCCAAGAACGCGTGAGAATTGTGACGCGGGCTTTTTTTACATTTCCCTCTCTTTGCTTCTCTCCCGCTCGATGAAGACAGCTCTATGAAATCCCTTCTTCCAACGCGAGGCCGAGAGTAATCTCCCTACTCGTTCCTTTGGTCGTGCCGGCCGTAGTCGGCCGTATCCGGGACCGTACACCGTACCAAGGACGGAAATAGGAAAGAGATCGACGAAACGGTACGCGGCAAGGCAAAAGATGCATCAGCTGACGGAGAGCAGGGCAGAGGCGAAACGACGGCGAGGTACACGGGCAGGGCTGTTGTTTACACCCCCACCTCGATGGGTAGGCAGCGAGATGCCACGGAGGGGCCTCCGAGACCTCGACGAACACCCACCACCACGCAATTTCCAACCCCACCAGCCTCTCAACCACTGTCCGCACCTCCAACCACCCCACCAAAGCCAGCTCGAGCCAAGCCGTGAGCCACGACGAGGGCCCCGCGACGATTTTAGTGTCTTGGGGTGGGTGCTCTCTGTGGCCACCGTTTCGCGGTTTCTCGTCGCGAAATGGTCTCGTCGTCGTACAGTCGAGCGTGACATGGCACCTACGGGGCGGTACCGTCCGCGCGCATCGTCGGGATTATCAACTATCAGGACTATCGGGAGTACGATCGAGCCGATCGAGCGCCAGAGATATCAAGCTACTTTTACATACATATATAACTATATATATTTTTTTTACACAACGCACACACACACACACGTATATACATAGAGAGAGGGGGGGGGGAGGGGGAGACAGAGGATCACATATGGTCATTATAAAGGCAAAAAAAAATTACACGTAAAACATGACGTCTCAAGCACGAGGAAGATTGAAAGCGTTCAAGATGTGAAAACTAGTCGACTTTGTTCTACTTACTCGTAAGTACAGGCAGGTAGACGACCAACGACCAAACGACTCTCCGTGCACACTCGGCTCAATGTACCGCTGTTACTGTCGCTGCCTTCGGTCTTCGTACGTCCGCTTAGTACGGGAATTGTCCGTCTGGCTGGTTCGCGTGCGTCGTCGTTCCCAATCCTCAGCGCAGCGGCAACAACTTTCTCATTTCAACGTGAACACGCCGACCGACGTATCGCCGCGGCTGTCGCTGCGTTGCACACGTCATACATATGCGTAGAGAGACGTCAGGATGGACGCGCGCACGTCTCTAACGGAAGTTCGAGGAGAGCTCGAGAGTGACTCCGCGATAAATTCGCACTCGCACACTCTACTACTACTACTACTACTACTCTCTCTCTCTCTCTCTAACGCACAACGAGCTCTCGGCGCTCTCGCTGAACGGAGACGCGCACACGCTTCGTTTCCGGGTTTACGACGACCAACCGCGATCGAATATGGCTCAGCCCTCCTCGGTCGGTAGGTAGGTACGTGAGCGGTGAGCACGGATGTCGCTCGAGCCGACCAACGGGAATAGAGTCAAACTAACGGTACATATAGCCGCCTGACGCCATCAGTAAACGACTCGGAGTGTGAGTTCGGAGTCGCCAGCCGGAGAGCATGTTACGAGTGAACGATGCCACCGAGCATCACTCGTCCGGAAAGTTGTTGGACGGAACGGACAGGCTCAGGCTCTACACGCGCGACGACGCCGCCGCCGCCGCCGCCGCCGCCGCTTCGATTGGACGACAATGACAATGACGACGCGCGCTTCAACGCACTCGTCATTACATACCACGTACCTACTCCACATCCAGCGTCGCTTGCCGTCGCCTAAATCCCTCGGATCGATCTTTCGATCGAGAGGATACACGCGATTCTCTACGCTGCTGATGTTAATATATTTCAACCGTTAAAATATTAATTATGGCGACGGTTACGTTGTAGAGTAGGGTACGAATGATAATGAGGCAATTAGAACGTGGCGTATTGGCGCTTGCGCGTACTTGCCGATCGAGCTGATCGTTCCCGCGAGCTCATGTTCCTTATCCCATTCGCAAACAACGCTTACCCTGGCTAAATTCTCTTTTCGCGTCCGAAATTATCTCGTACGATCTAAATATTCTAAACACATTCGTTCGTCACTCCGTTACGTCGATCCCTCCTTTCCTCACTCTTCCGAGTTCCGCTTCCGTCACGCCACGCTTGACCACGGATACACGGAACAGAGCGATTCGACTCGACAGTCGACTCACGCACCTAGCGGATGCTTCCTAGAGTACGCTTGAGTCAAGTCTAGATCCAACAATGACTGTCCTGCCATCTTTCTCGAGCCTCGAATGCGCGCATATTTACGAAACGTTCTCGAAACATCGGTCCCACTGCTGCTGGTGGTGGTGGTGGTATATTCGTAATTGTGATACTTTATGTATCAACACGTCATGAACCAATCAGAAAGCCGCATTAGCATCCCAAAACATTACTTGAAACGGTCTTAAAATAATTAACATGGACTACGAGTTTCGGTTCAAAATTCAAGTCATCTCTACTCGTAAACCCCCGGATTTACAATAGGTGCTTACTATACCTACTGCTTGCTTTCTAGCGCGCTCACGTCAATACTTTCTTTTCAAATTCATCCATCGATTATTCACATTTTTGCAATCCTAATCTTTCATACGCGTGGTCCGCGAGTTGCCGTGCACCAAATTCCACGTTAAATCATATATGCCAATGAAAATACGCATCTATAAAAATGTTATATAATGATGAGCCTAGGATGATTTGTATGAGAAATAATTCAAATAAAGAAATAAAGAAATATTACAATTTACATGGTTTCACATTCATATACTCTCACTTACACACAATTTTATGCACTAATAAAAGATGCTTAATACTCTAACGATTATACATTATTGAATCTTATATCTATAGATGCTACTTCTGATAAAAGTTTTATGTACCAATTTTATTGCTGTGGTGCGCACGCTTCATCATTATCCAATCGACGATGACAATCGGAAAATCAAAAATTATCAAATATATCACATAGAAGAATGACAGCAGAAAAACAGCGAGACTTGACTAAATCTCAAGATGCTTTACAAGTGAAACGTGTGCTTGTCAATAGAGATCTGGTCTCCTCTGCATACGTTCCATGTATAAGGAAAAGAGCAATTTATTGCTCTCGTAATAAAAAGGATTTTCCGTCGCATCCAAATCTGGTCTGTAATCACTGGTAAAACTGCTTTGGCTGGAACCACAACTGCCTCTGGGCGATGAATTTTGAGATATCTCTGAGCAGCTTGGAGACGACATAAAATTTCCACTCTCCCAATCAGTTTCCATATTCTCCACCGTGTTCTCTCGTAGGCCAGACAAACCATTAATATGAAGATTGTTAATTCGTTTGCTCAATGGCATAAAGTCGCTAGATTCCTCTTCTATGTTGCGACATCTCTTCCTAAACGATTCAAATAGAAAATAATTACAAAATAATAACAATGCTATTATGGATAAAAATATATTATGTTTTATACGTAATTCTTCTTTTATATACATTTATCTTTACAAATACATTTGTACACACGCGTATATATCAAGCAGGTAATTATTTAGAATACCCCACTCTACCTCCAAAATATTAATAAAGATATATCAATTCGACGCATTTTCACTCAAAACGAACGAATCTGGCAACAAAAAAAATGTGGCGGTCGGCTTCTTAAATTGAGTTATTAAGCGTTAAAATTATAAGTCACTTTAAAGGTTAAAATGTCTGTCATCCTGACTCAATACAGCACTATATATGTATACGTTCTGCCTTAATTACACAAATTTACTGCTTTAAAAATTCAAATTCACTGTTTTAAAAACTCAAATTCATTGTTTTAAAAACACAAATTCACTGCTTTACAAACACAAATTCTTTCCATTAGCAGTGAATTTGTGTTTTCAAAGCGGTGAATTTGTGTTTGTGTGTTTGTGAAGCAGAGAATTTATTTTTAAAACGGTGAATTGGTGTTATTAATGCAGAACATATGCATAGCGCTATATTGATCGAGTCGAGATAACAGATATCTTAGGGTCAATGTGATACTACAAATGCTTTAAAGCGTTTTTATATATTATAGTCAATTTGAAAAATTCTTTCCTTTGATTGGTCCATCAAACGCTTCAAAGCATTTGTAGCGAGACTTTGACCACGGCCTTAATCTCTAAACTCTCCAACTTTAACGCTTAATAACTCGATTCACGAAGCTGACTGCTGCGTTTTTCTACCAGATTCTTTTGTTTTCAGTGAAAACGCGATAAACTCGAATGAGTATATTTTTATTAAGATTTTAAGTGGGGTGGGGTATTCTAAATAATTACCAAGCAGACATCGTAAATTGTTACGTCAACGTCTCGCAAACGTTTGAAAGACAAACCTGTTTGTTCGCGTCATGATTATCGTTGATCGACTTCCACGAAGATTTCAATAAAGGTATTCTCTCACTTGATACATGTTACGCTTCTCGTTTCGATATTTCAAGATCAATTATATTTCCAAATGTTTGTTTACTAAATCAAAATACAAAAATTATAAAATACAGTTGCACTAACTTTCGATCCTTAAATCTGATGAAACCTGACAAATATGCAAATAACTGACAACCGAAATTCGAGATAAATCAGAAAACTAACCGCTTTTTGAAACTTCCTAGTCGTCAAAAACTGTCAACATTGTAAAGACAGTTGACTGTACATGAATAACGAAAAAAGAACGTAGAGTTGTTACTTCTGTTCTTCATACGGTATCGTTTAAGGTGCATTCAGATTACAGCGTCAGTGTTAAGCTAGTCACACACGCTTTCTCCGTAACAGTACAGTAAAGGCTTATGCTGGATTCACACAGCATCCGATTTGCGACATACGACGGTCTGCAACCAGTCAGAAAACAGGATTCCGATGATACGAAGCAAAATCCATCGGAATCCTGTTTTCTGATTGGTTGCAGAGCGTCGTACGACGCAAATTGGATGCAGCAGGGTGAATCCAGCAATAAACACAATAGGCACAGGCAACAGGGAATAACGGACCGTCCAATCAAAGCTCTTGGATGTAATTTTAAACTTACACACCAGTGCTCTGATTGGACGGCTCGTTATTCCCTGTTGCCTGTGCTTATTGTATTTTAAGCCTTAAACACAATGCGAAGGAATAGCGATAGCGATAGGAATAACACGATTTCAACGTATCTGAAATCAGATACACTGGAATATACACTTTCTGATAGGTTGAAATTGTGTTATTCCTATCGCTATCGCTATTCCTTCGCATTGTGTTTGATGCTTAACAGTAAGGTTTTCGACCAATCGCGTTGCTCGATTGTTAACGATTACGGTTATGGACGACCGAATCGAGCAACACGATTGGTCAAAAACCTACGTTATATTTACGGTTACTGTTACGAAAAGTGTGTGTGACTAGCATAAAGATGCATTTACATGCAAACGTTAAGCGTCAAGCAGCGGAAGCAGCAATCAATCAACGAGGCGATTTTTACAATGGCGTAAAAAAAAATATTTTTTACACTACCCGTATCGCCTAACTGATTGGTTGCTGCTTCCACTGCTAGCACTGACAGTATCGCAGCCACGGTGGCAAGATTCTATTCCAACTAATAATCCAGCAGGAAAATAGGCGTCGTGTGCCGCAGGCTTAAGCCCGGATCCTTAGGCTGCATTCACATGCAGCGTAACTTGCGTAAACGTAACTTGCGTCACCGACGAGGTACTATTAAAGAACGACATCCTTACGGGAGTTCGCGTCCTTGTGAATATTGAAATATATTATTAAGAATTAAAAACTGATAATATTGTACTAATTTTATGATTTATTAATTTAGTAGACGTATTTATGCATTTAGAACTGAATAATACTCGATTTTTCTTTAAAATTGTGATTTCAGCGCTATCGTCAAAGTTTGATTATCAACAGAGATAATAACTACAGAGAAAAAATTGTAATTTTTCTGCAATATATAGGATATTATAGCTTTACAAGAATGCATATTTATTTATGGAACATTTATGTAATAAAAAATCATGAATTTAATAATGTATGAGCCAAATATTTATATGTTAATAATAGCAAATTTATAACAATTGTCGATAATCAGTCAGCGTTCTTCAATTACCTCCGGGTCCTTGGGACCCTTTTTACACCGTCGAAAATTTGCCCAGGGTTGACTGTCTTTAATAGTACCTCGTCGGTGCTTGTGTCAACCAATCATATCGTATCAAATTGCATCAGCTACTACGTATTAGGGACTCTGCACGATAAAAGGGACAGGGAACAGAGAACAGGGCTGTATTCTTGAAAAGTATCGCATATAAAAAACTAGGGAAATACTATAGTATGCATTACATATACTATAGCATTTCTCGAATTTTTCGTATGCGATACTTTTCAAGAATAGAGCGTCAGAGAATAAAAATTTCAACCTATCAGAAATCATGTATTGTGGAATACACACTGTATATTACACAGTGGAATACGCCTGTCGCAGTCGCAGAAAGTTGAAATTGACTCAACTTTGTACGACAAGAGCACTTGCGACAATAGGCCTGTTCTTTTTGGCTGAACCTTTGCACCAGTTCATCTTTTTTCCTTTTCTCTCCAGCAGGAAAGAAGAGGAAGAAAGATGAACTGGTGCAAAAGTTCAGCCAAAAAGAACAGGCCTTATCATGCAGCTATTGCTGGATTCACACTGCATCCGTCGTGCGTCGTATGTACGACGCACATCGGATGCTGGGTGAATCCAACATATGGGTGCGGTCCACATTGCGCTACAAATGCTTCCAAGTGTTTGATTGACCAATCGGAAGAAAGAATTTTGCTAATTGACCCATCAAAAAATGCTTCAAAACATTTGTAGCATCAAGTGGATCGTAACCCATATGCGACACTTTTGCGACATTTCATACGACATGTGACACAGCTTGCGCGACTGTGTAGACGAGGCCACAGTATGTACACACACACACACACACACACACACACGCGCGCACGCACGCACGCACGCACGCACGCACACACACAATAGCGCAACTCTCTGTCGGCACCTTTGTGATGTTAGTGTGGCCAAAATGGAGTGCGCATGCGTGAAATAAGTTAGTTACCTAGCATTACCTCGGTTACCACCTAAACTTCTTTCTCTTTTCATCCTTTTTTTATTCTGTCAAAATTCCTCGCAAAACTCACTAGATTTATTCGCATCGGGAATTCCAACGAATTCGTTAAAGTGAGTAAGTGCTATTGTGAGAACATATTAGAACATATTAGAGCATCGCATATTGCAAAGAAATAATTTAAACTTTATCAAAAATTAATAAAAATAAATTGTAAATATATTGAAAAATAAAGAAAAAATATGGGACAATTAGGAAAAATATTAAATTAATTTTAAAATGTATATTTGTATAAAGAAATATTATGTATAATTATATATCTGTGAAAATATTATGAGAAAGCTGATATAAAAGAATTGATTAAATACCCAGCCCTGATTAATATATACAAATACAGAGGGCTGCGTATTTAAAATATTTTTAATTTTAAGGCTTTGATTTCTATAGTTTGTGTTATCACATATACGGTCCTATAATATATTATATTAAAATATTTTTATTTAAAACACTACAGTTTTTACAATACATTTGTATTTTGCATTTCAACGAAGCACATGAAAGCATTAGATACGTACTGTATTTAAAATAAAAAAATTGTAAGTTCTTTGTACTTTGTAATTCAAATAATTACAATGATCGTCAATTTTAGTATTTAAAATACCAAATATAAAATACTTTTATATGCTCTCCAGTGAAATAAAAAATATAAAATACAATTGTGTTACAAATAATGTTTTTCAAATAAAGTATTTCTGCCCAGTCCTGAATATGTGTGTTTGCGTGCGTGCGTGCGTGCGTGTGTAGTTGAGTGGTACACACATCAAAATAATACACACACGTCATACATGGGCGCTAACTTAAATAAATGCAAGGGGTACCACGCACGCACGCAATGGTAGATCTTATGTCCCCCTTCAAATATAACTTTTATCTGAAATATTTTATCGCATTTTTTCAAAATATTTGCCTGTTAAGAGTAAAATGAATCACTAGTTGGAGATCTGTACGTGCTGTTAGAGAGAGTCAAGATTTTATTTTAAAAAAATTTATTAATAAAATGTAAAACAAACAACAGATATTATATGGAAGAAAAAAAGAGTTAAAAAAAAGTAAAATTGCAAAAACAAAAGACATACATTAATGTACATTCGGTATTACTAGAATTGAGATTTGTTTTCGAGGAATGCATAAAAGAGTCACAACTATTTGATCTATAATGTTGCGTAACACAAATAATTCATAATTTTTATGTATTTCATAATTTATTGAAAGAAATATGTAAATTGCAAACCTATAATACTTTCATATTATTATTATTATTATTATTATTACAATTAGGTATACCACACTCATGTACAATATGGATACGAATAAATCTTTGTTAAAAAAAATTTTCGTACCAAACGAATTGCTCCAATTGCATCGCGTTGGGCGCATTAAGATATTTTTTTCTTATCTTTCGATAAGACTAATTATTGTCTATAGAGCTGCTAACAAATAAAGATAATACCACAGTAATTTAGCAAAAGAATCGCGCATAAAAACCCTATTCAATTTTATCACGAAGGATATCGACATCCGGAAGATATCGCCTTGACGTAACATCCCATCACAGGAAGGAAGAAACTATGTTTTATATTTTATCCTGGACACGAATAAACCAACGTTAACGGAGATGTTATTTTTTTCAAGAGTCTCTGTTACTGTAATTCAAAACCAATTCCCCACCTATAACTTTTAAGATTTATTGACAATTTTCCGCACCACTGCACAATCGCGCAGAATCTCCTTATCGTATTTGCGAATTTTGTTATATTGCGATCTTTAATATGCGTTTGATTCAATTATATTGAAAATGATCCAAATTTAAAGTCGAAACATTTACTTATTTGTTTCATGTAATAAAAATTAATTAACACGCAAACATCTAGTGTATGGTCCTTACAGGCATTACTCTATTATTTTATATATTTAGGACTTTTTGCTTAATTAATTGATTTAACTCTTATAAAAAATGTTTCTATATACAATTCTCACTGACAATGAGCATAATAAGACTAATTTAATTTGAAAATAAATTAATATTGAATCCTAAGACTCTTTTCGAGACTTTTTATTTGCGATTCATTCTTAGAATATACAGAGAGAGAGAGAGAGAGAGAGAGAGAGAGAGGGGGGGGGGGGGGGGGGGGGAAACGCGACGCGCTACACGATCAACCTTGTGAAACGTGCGTGTATATATGTGGCCTTGATTTCTGAAGCCGTGAAAATATCTTGCCGTCTCCTTGGGTTAATTAAACCAAGCCACCAAGTCACTGACTTTATTGGCACGGCCAATTTCTCCTCGACAATGTGGGAAACGAAATAAGTTTCTCATTACGCTTATTGTTTCTCGTCACGTTAACGTGAAAAGAGAAGATTTCGGTAACAAAAATCATGCGAGATGTGAAAAACATGATTATTTTACAATTATTATTGATTTAAAAAAACAGAACTTGCAAAAATATCTTATATTGTTGAAAAAATGTTATTGATTGCGATATTCGTTAAACAAAATATGCAGATTTTCTGGTGAATACAATTTCGAGATTTACATACACACAGCTGATTACGCCGATGCGATTGTACTTGGACTTTGTTACAATATTGTAACTGTAACTTTGAACATCTCTATTGCGAAAAAAAGAAAACAATTGGATTTCTTAGAAAGCTCGAGAATTTCTTCGAGAGCTTTGACAAAAGCGTATTGAGTTAGATTGAATCATTGGCTGCGTTCAGCAGAAAAAACAGCTTTGCAACTGTTGTAAAATTCTTAAATATGATTGATTTATACACTTAGATCTAGTGAGGAACTAAGAGCAAGACCAATCATATTAAAGAATTTTACAACAGTTGCAAAGCTGCTTTTTTTTTGCTGAACGTAGCCATTTATTCGTTTAAATATTACAAGTCAAAATGATACTATTTAAATTTGTATGTCATTCTCTCGATGCGTATTATAACAACGCTATAGAATATTGTTGTACGAATCCCTATATATGGGGTTTGTCGTGTTCGGTGCACCTCCCTTTTGGGCGTGGTACTCACTGCAGACGTTTCTCATCGATTTCTCCACGACCGCCAAACACCATAAGCTCGGACAAGACATCCTTCGCATCTTATGTTATAAATTTATGAAAATTTACCGTAACGTGTAGTGTTTTAGTTATAACGACCACGATTATTTTTTTTAATCAAAAACAATAACCGCGCGATACTGACACTGATATACTCATGTGCTGGCTTACATCATCGTTTTGCATTCCTTTCGGAATGTCTGTATATACATATAACGGGGAGACAGGCATCACGACAGGAGCAGGTTTTCTTATAGGTCGATCCCCCTGAAGGCTCGATGGCCTTCATCATCGTCACACGGAAAGAATGGTTTTGCTGAAATATCCAAAAATTTAGCTAGATACAGAAAATAACTTAGTCGGACCATCAAAATAGTTATGCTTAAACTAGAGATTGTGAGAATATCAAAACTTTTTGCAATACATAATCATGATGCTTGAGTTCCTATATAATTTTGGTGGGCCAAAAAAATTGTTTTTAGATCTATATTTAATTAAATTTTTACATATTTTAGCGAAATTATTCCCTTTACGTCGCACCTAAAGTATACTAATACGTTTAACCAAATTTTAAATAACCAAATTTTAATTAGAACAACACAATTTTTTAATGAAAAAGTAAAAAAGTTTTTGTTAATCCCATATAAAAAAAATAACGATACCAAAATATCTTTAATTCTCTCAGTGTACAAGATACGACGTTTCTTAGTTTTGGCCGCAATCGATATATCATACGAAAATCACAGACTCCCTATTCCCGATCGTTTCTTTGTTTTAGACTCAAATTTATGTATGCAAATTTTTAATTCATTCGTTCTTAAATTTCAACGTCTCAAGTATCACAACGTTAAAAAAAGCGCTAAGAAAATGTATACGTATATAAGCGCTTTTTCAGCGCTGTATTCGCAGACGCTGCTGTGCTACTTGGGGCACTTGAATAGCTGTGCGTCGCACTCCATAAAAGCGCATAAAACTATATGTTTCATTCTCTTGGACTATTGCGCTATCAGATTTGAAATATTGTATTAATTAGGAGAAAACATGCGAATTTTTGAACGTTCATTCTGCGATCTCACGCGAATAGGAGCTTATATACAGATATATGGTATGTATAGGTTTAAGATTAAAGATAGGATCAAGAATAAATGAGTTGTTTGTGCAATTGCAGTAGATGTAATATAATGCAGTAATATCTGTAATCTCTTTCTCTATTTAAGATTTACTATCAATTTTTCATTTTTCTAGAAATATCATTTATTGAAAAACCTGAAAATATAATGTAATGTTTGTGGAAATCTCTCGTTACGCTCCTGTTCGTTATCATATTTCTCCCTCTTGTTCGCCGCGGCCCCGGCCGGCCCGATGACGGCAACTGCACCGGCGATGAATTTTTTTTTTTTTTTTTTTGCGAGATGTACATGAAACTCCGCATTAAATTCTTATTCGGTTTATCACTCCTTCGTTTTATTTATTTGTTTATCTGATTTGATTTCAATAATTATGCAAAATATATAGTAAATATTATATTAAAAATGTACACTTTTCGTATCGATCATATAGTTTTAACACAGTAAAAGAAAAAATTATTTTAAAAGTAAAACAATCTCGTAAAACATTGTAGTAAAAAAAATAAGATTCTTCGTATATGCATGTAATGATGGTTGATAGTTTCAAGTCGTTTTCCATCGAAAGCGATAAATATTTCGAGTATGATTCGTTTCAAGCGATAAAGCTATATCTCGTAGGTGTTTCGATCAAGTGCAAACTTATGATTGAATGTTATTAGGTGTGTTCCGGAAAGTGTAGAAAAAAAAAACTATCCGCCTTTCTACGCACCGCGCACCGTCGCGTCGCACCATCGCAAGTCCTAGTATACCCGATCTACTTTTCGTTATATGTACTGCGGTTATACACATCGCAAATATTGCGTTGACTTAATCTGTGAACGCAATGCACGCTCGACGAATATTGCGATGCAAACATTTACGAATTTATAATCATACATTGCAAATGATTAGTTTTGCAAGTAGTATATAAGGAAAAAAAAGTGGTTGGTAATGTGGAATACAAGCAAATGAAAAAGATACAGCCGTTTTTGGCAACAAAGAAGCATAGGCACGTACACATACACCAAACACGTACACATAGAGTTCATTGAGTTATGAAGCCATGACCGCGTTTCGAATCCTTGACTGACTGCATGTTTCGCGCGAGCTCGTTGACGCTCGTTGCAGTCTCTGAAAGGTCATAGTCTCTGAAAAGAGTCAAGAACGGGAATAACTAATAACTTATGCGAGAGCACGTTCGTTTTTCAGTTGTCTACCGATTTGAGATTACTCGTGTAAATACGGTTGAATCTCAAATGTTAAGAAGTTTTGTGTGTTATCAATACGTTAAGGTCTATGAATCGCTATATCAAATTTAAGATAACAATCTAGATTAGCAAAACGTGTCAAATACGATTACATATTTAAGAGAGCTTATTATAATTTCCAATAAAGAATACGCTGTAGTGTCTTTATCTCCCCCCCCAAAACTCTCTCTCTCTCTCTCTCCGCCTTTCACGCGCGTGCTTGTCTTATTGTACTGCTAGTAGAGTACGAGATTAGACGGCTCAATCATTTTCAAGAGTACGAATTGCGATATTGAAATTATAATATTCTTATCCACATTATATTAATAAGACAGCTCGTTAATAGTTTGTCAAGAGGAATCGTTAATTAGTGAGGGTCACACCTACGATTCTTAAATAATGTTTAAGTTTCGGTATATATTAACGATAGATTAAGGTTTTGCGATATAACCACGGATTCTTGAGACAGACGGTTCTCTGTCAGCATAACGTTCCACTCGCATGACGCGCGATCGGGGCGATACTTACGCGACGCGACGCGACGCGACGCAAGACAAGGCAATATGTGGGGCTGACCTGACGATGACTAATCCATGCGAATGTGTCATGCTGCAAAGATGAACACGAAGGGATACCTAAATATATAATATACACTATACATACAATATGTATATGTTACTAATATAATATAATATACACTATACATACGATATGTATATGTTATTATTTATTATATTTCACTGCTTTAGATACTTTTATATAAAGCAACTTTTTTAATATCCAGTATAGTGTACGTACAATTGATTGAATTCACCATAAGTTAGCATCGAATAGAGTGCAATATCGAATATTATCGCATAGTTGAGATCTCTGCATATACCGAATGGCGTCAATCGAGTGTACGACGATACTGTTATGAGACTGTAGAGAATCGCTTAAGAATATCTCATGCTATATTCCACCATAAGTCACCATCTCTTTTTATCTCGTAAACTAAACATAAAAAAATATAATATAGATATATCAATCAAATTATAAACGATTTGAATTGTAAACTGTGTATTGAGAGCACGAGTATGATTACTTGAAAAAATTATCCATGTGTTAGAAAATAAAAAGGGGCATATATATATAATTTGATATCTATCTATTATATCTATTATATCTTTTGTCTATCTTAACATTTTTCCGTCCTGGTGTGGCCAACTTGTGATTCTCGCATTAATGATTGACATGTGTGTATGTGTATAAACGTCATTAATCATATGGATCAATGTGAAGAGTCGGAAGATGGCCACTGCACCGATCTGTACAAAGACGTATTATATATTATGGTCTGTAGAAAGATGTATTATATATTCCTGACAAAAAGTGTGCTACAACTTTTATTATATCGAATATTTACATTATTATGAAAAAGTTATGCATGCCTTGCTCCAGTATAACATATATAATAATTTTGACAGATGATGACGTATGTATGTACACTGTTGTACATACATACGTCATCATCTCAGCTCACAACAGAGCTCAATTTAAACCGTCTAAATCTATAAGTTGACCATTTGTTACGTACGTTTATCACTTTTAATTTGCAAGATAAAAAAAAGAGTAGCCATTTATGGTACACACTGTATGTAAATCTACAATGAGAGAGAGAGAGAGAGAGAGAGAGAGAGATGTTGTTTGAAATATTTTACAGTAAAGCTTTCGTTGTATTTCTTTTTTCTCGGTAAACTCGAATCAAGTTATGTGCATGCGCGCGCATTTTGGCGGCGTTGCGATGACGGAACCAAACGTTGTTACCTCACAATACTTACTGATACTGGTGTCCCATCGATGTAATATCCCTTTGCCTTTGCTTTTGATACAAAGTAATTTAACAAACAAAAAGTCTTCATTTTCTTGCGGGCAACATTAATCTCGACTGATCGTTACTCGAGTCCTCCTCGCGAACCATCGCGAATTGAATCTGTTGAAAAGATATGCGATAGCTAAGTCGTATTTTCAAGTTTATTCGTTGAATTGAATTTTTGATTTGATAAATTTAAGTATAGGTATTTCGTTTATTCATCCAAATGACGTGTTTCGATCATGAGTCGTTTCAATCGTGGTGATAACTTGCGCGCATTAATACGTGTCACGTTCGTGTTAAGGAGAAGGCCGATGTATAACATCGCGGGATGTTTCATCCTTACGACTTGGGAGCTAGTCTTTCAAGACCTTGGCGCCAGAGACCATATATGGTGGACAAGGTCGAGACATCTTGGGTCATTGGGTCTTTAGGACGCGCGAACGTGTGTGTAACAGAGTTAATTATTTTATTCAAAGAGAGAGAGAGAGAGAGAGAGAGAGACCTATCGGACTAATCCGTACACCGAGATATCGGACGAGACTGTTGTGATTATTCGCGTAGGTATACATCGTCGTGCTACGTCATACTGATGAGTAGACCCGATTAAATTATAATCATGGTATATTAATCGACGTATCACGTCGATCGCTTCACGAAACCGTTTTTAAATGACTCAAATGTAATCGGGCGTTTCTAACAGCGTTCCTCAATCAGGCACGCGGTCATCTCGTGGATGAATCATTGGAAGCGCGTGAGTGTCGAACGCATGGGAAATGTAACGATTCGACGGCGATTTATCACCGATTCGAATAGTATCCGATTCTTTGTAAATCGTACGTCATAACCTACGGTCACGTATTCGTGAAGAAATTATGAGACAGCTCCGAGAAGAGAAGCGTATCGATTTTGAAAGCGGGTGTCTCTCTCTCTCTCTCTCTCTCTCTCCCATCGTAGCCAGACGGTACGGGCGGCGCGGACGATCGAGTCTCGCACCTTGTGTCCGTCTGTCCATAATTCGTATATCAACGATGCAGTCCGCGTTACATCGATAGACCGTAGGGCCTGAATTGCGTATGACGTGGTAAAATTAGAGTGCAACGCACTCGTATTCCTGCCCTTGAATTTTATACCTCTACACGTTTATACCGTATACCTACCTTACCACTGCTCTGTACACTTTACGTCTCTGAACGCTTCAATTTCTTTATACATATAATATACATTGATTTACGTTTGTATTATCATACCAGTAACTGCTCTGCAAAGAGAGAGAATATGTAGGAATTTACACAGGAATTATATGTAGAGGAAATTCAAATCCTTCTGGCGGATGCCGAACGTTACATATCCGACGGTGATTAATTATTCGGAATATTCCAGGATTATTCGCAATACAATGTTTTATTAAATCGTCGTAATTTCTTTGAAAAGTCGTCGAGGTGGGACGCGCATTCTTCGTAAAGTCTCTCAACGTGACGCAAATAAATTAATTAGCGTGCGTGCACGTTTAATACAATATAAATTATAAATGAAGGATTGGAGAATATTTTAAGGGCCATCTCCCACACATCGACGACGAACGTCACATACCTTAGGTACGTATGTACGTACAAACAATTCATAGGCTTTCGTCGCGACGGTTAATTTTCAAGCGAGTCTTTACGTTAAAGCATATACTTCCAGGAGAGACACGCGCTCTCCGTATCGTACGATTTGAAACGGCATTTGGAGAATCTAGCCGCTAGCCGGCCAACGGACCAATCGGCGCGTCGCTTTCGTTTTATGCCCATATATGGCAAGAGCTGTGAATCCGCACGGTGGGAGAAGTTGGATGGACGAGTCTATTGCACGGCGAAGGGTATCTCGGTAGATCGGTACGTATGTATATATATACTACGTACTAGCGCACTACTGAGACCGTAGTGGCGATCGAGCGACAACGGCATGCCATTTCTTTCCATCGTATCGAGATACGACGGTAATTCTCGCGTAATATCTCGCGAGCTTTTAATACTAGAAACGGATGCGAAAGGACAACGTTAGATTTAGATAGTAGAGAAGAGTCGGTAAAATTGCATACCGACCACACCTTTGGACGAGTCCACGCAACGTGACGTGTGCGCGGGGTGGCGAGGCGAGGCGCAGGGCGGCGCGCGCGGCGCGGCGCGGCGCGGCGCGATACCGGCTCACGGCTCACGGCTCTTCGCTCCGACGATCTTGCTCACAGCGTTCGCGGTGCTGCACGGTGTTCGTTCTGTTCCTGCCGACCGATTAGCACTCTCGTCCGTATTCCAATTTCTCGCGACAGCGTTTAACGGCGTATAACGGCGTATTAAGGACAGAAAGAGGTAAGTGAGAGAGAGAGACGCAGTACTGTCACGTCGCTCGCGCTGTATTTTCTTTCAACGTTAATTGTGGATCGAGTTGTTCTCGAGTCTCGAGTCTCGGTAGGTAGGCGAGGAGAAAATGTAAGCGCGCGGAATCTATTCCTTCTCGTTTTGCGGACCTTTCGTGAACCGGCTTTCTTGCCTACGAGAAACTCGCAACTCGCCGCGGCGAGTCGTTGCCACGTTGCGACTCGAGGGACAGGTTGTCGAGTGGCCACAGGACATGCAGGTGGTTGTGGCACGACGCCAAAGCGATCTTCTATTAATAGCAACAACTCGTAGTGCGTTACTAACCTACGACCACCTATGAGAGATTCGCGCTTGCTCGCTCTACGGCAACACGAGACTTGCAATAAACTCGACTGAGAATCAAACGTATGAAATCGCTGAAATTCATTTTTAGGCGTTTCCCCAATCGCGAATGAGTAAATAATTCGTTTCACCGCGAAATCTCGTCGAAGCAATTTTGAAAAATCATGTAATCGACAGATGATGCTCGTCGTCCCTGAATCTATTCGGTCGAAGAGTTTGATTCGACAGTGAATTTAATAGAGACGGAGATGCATTCTCTCTCACACACCGGCTCGATGCTTATCGTCAGGTCGTCGTCGCGTTGCGTTGCGTAGCGATAGCGGTGCGCGGGGTGAGGTAGTGGAGAGAGAGTGGGAGGGAGGCTGCGGAAACCCCTCTGTGTCAGAGTACTTCCATATATGGTAAAGAAAGCCAGGATTGGTCGAGGGTGTCCCACCCTTGTGCTCGCCGAGTGTCAGTCTGCTACCGAGTGGGAACAACGCATCTGTTGGTATTCGTATTCGTTATAATACGCCGTGAGCCCCGATCTTCGGCTACACTCTGTGTTCGGTGCTGGATCGGTGCGGCAGTGTCGCCACTTAAAACACTTGTACATAACTTGAATTTTTTACACGAAACGTAAGTCTAAGCGCGAAGCGGTCACGATTATTCGCCTAGCGAGGATACTTGATCATTCATAATTCTTTGGGAGGATTAGAATTCAAGTGCGTGGCGTGGATTAGAATTCTAACATCCGGCAAATGCACATATCCGGATATACATTATATTATATGTATATAGTACCTATTTCGAACGATATATATCACATGTATGTTATTGATACCAAGTGCCAGCGACAAGATGGTGAATGTGCATTTCACTGGGTGGTGCGCGCAAGCGCGTCGAAAGTGATTCAATTGTGAAGATGTTACATATTTGCGAATGCGTCAACGTATCCAACTAAATGTAATTGCGTGTAATGATTAGGTTTCTCTCTCTCTCTCTCTCTCTCTCTCTCTCTCTCTCTCTCTCTCTCTCATTTTGATTCTAACAAAATTTATATGTAACTTCCAGAAAGATAATTTAAATATAAATAAAAAAGGTCCTGAGTAAAATTTTGTTTTAAGCTGTATATAAAAAGTTGTACGCGCTTAAAGATAGAAGGTTTATGCCGGAGCACCGGAACTTCACCCCCCTCTACTTCAGTGAATATCGATCGGAATTAAATGAAATTTATGTCATTCATTACTGTTTGGTAGAGCAACAATTCAATCAATTTTGAGCTTTATCCGACAACATTGATTTTTTGGATTGGACCACTTGAGAAATTTTGCCACATGTGTATCGTTCACGTCTTCTTCAATGATGGAATTATTAAATTCTTATGAAGCTTATTGTATCTTGTGTGTTTTTCAACGCCATCTTAAATGAGTTTCGAAAACGTTTAACGTGTACCGGCTAATAATTATTCATCGATATACTTACGCTTCCGTAATATATTTCTTGATATATCTCTTTCTTTAATTTTTTTTTTATTTCTTTCCAATTGTCGAAATTTATTGTTCGAAATTTCATGAAATTTAATATACTTTTAACTTAATTTCGACTTAATTTCATGACATTACATTTAATTTTACGTACGTACTTCTAACCGAAAAGTATATTTGTATATGACATGTACATGAAATTTTATGTATTTTTCATAAATTTAACGTACACGTTTATTACATTTAAGAGCAACTACACTGTAACTTATAATTTTCAATTAAATCATTCACTACTTTTAATTTCGTTTATATCCACGAGCTTCATTTATGCATGTATATGTAAAGGAAGTGCTTGTGATTACATTTCTAACAGTGCAGAAAAGGCATATTTTGATTTTAAATTTAATTTCGCAATACGTGTATGTATGTATGTATGTATGTATGTATAACTTGTCTTGTAATGTATACGCGCGCGAAAATATTCTCTCGTTGTGGGCTAATTGTGATATTAATATTTGTTATACATTTGTTTTGTAGATAAAGCAAGTAAGTAAACATGTGCGACGAGGAAGTTGCCGCGCTCGTAGTCGACAATGGATCCGGTATGTGCAAGGCTGGCTTCGCCGGGGATGATGCTCCCCGCGCCGTCTTTCCCTCGATTGTCGGCAGGCCACGCCACCAGGGTGTCATGGTCGGTATGGGACAGAAGGACTCTTACGTCGGTGACGAGGCTCAATCCAAGAGGGGTATCTTGACGCTCAAGTATCCGATCGAACACGGCATCGTTACCAACTGGGACGACATGGAGAAGATCTGGCATCACACATTCTATAACGAGCTGCGAGTAGCTCCAGAAGAACATCCGGTTCTCCTTACCGAGGCACCTTTGAATCCCAAGGCTAATCGCGAAAAGATGACACAAATTATGTTCGAGACGTTCAACACTCCCGCCATGTACGTGGCGATTCAAGCTGTACTATCGCTCTACGCGTCCGGTCGTACCACCGGTATCGTGCTGGATTCGGGCGATGGTGTTTCTCATACTGTACCGATTTACGAGGGATACGCTCTGCCACACGCTATCCTTCGCTTGGATTTAGCAGGTCGCGACTTGACCGACTATCTCATGAAGATTCTCACGGAGAGAGGATATTCCTTCACTACTACTGCCGAACGAGAAATCGTTCGCGACATCAAGGAGAAACTTTGCTACGTTGCGCTCGACTTTGAACAGGAAATGGCCACAGCGGCCTCTTCCTCCAGTTTGGAGAAGAGTTACGAGCTTCCCGATGGTCAGGTCATCACTATAGGTAACGAACGATTCCGTTGCCCCGAGGCTCTCTTCCAACCCTCCTTCCTAGGCATGGAAGCTTGTGGCATTCACGAGACTACGTACAACTCGATCATGAAGTGCGACGTCGACATCCGCAAGGATCTGTACGCCAACACTGTTCTATCCGGCGGTACCACCATGTATCCTGGCATAGCCGACAGAATGCAGAAGGAGATCACTGCCTTAGCTCCGTCTACTATGAAAATTAAGATTATTGCCCCACCCGAGAGGAAATACTCTGTATGGATCGGTGGATCGATTCTCGCGTCGCTTTCTACCTTCCAACAGATGTGGATCTCGAAGCAGGAATACGACGAGTCTGGACCCTCCATCGTCCACAGGAAGTGCTTCTAAACGCGTTCTCGATACATCTACTATCATTCCCCGATCCCTGAGACTTTGAGAAATGAGAGAGAGAGAGAGATAGAGAGAGAGAGAGAGGGGCTTTTGTCTCGTTTCGCAGGCGGACGTAACATCAACTTCCGCGACGATTGCCCTTTGGTTCCTCCGGGGCAAAGGTAGCTTCTTTCAATTCGGATGTACGTGTTTAAGATACGCGTGAGGTAAGCGTCTCCGATTAAACGAGAGGAGAGAGAGAGAGTGTGTGAGAGAAAGAGAGGAGCTTACGATATATCGCCCTCCTTCCGCGATTGTTCCTCGGTCTTGGCGGTAACCCAAAATGAATCGACGGCTCATTCTTGCTCGTTTTAAACGTGGCCATTTTCCATCGTTTTTCATCTATTCGATATAACGATCTTAAACATGTGCCCCGATTTCTGAATACCTTTTTCTACCTTATAGTATCGAGTCCTTTGTATTATATATTTGAATAAAACTTGTGTCTCTACGGTAGCATTTAGCCAAACATTCCTCCCGAGACATTCTTCTCTCAACGCGAGAGTAAAACGCTTCTTTTCTGTTACGACTCTCGCGTAAACATCCTACGCGTAAACCTCAATTGCCGTTTTTCTTCGAGAATTCGAGCAAAAAACGTTCACGCGGATAACTCTACAATTTCTGTCGCGGGAAGGATCGTCGATTGATGATACTTTTCTCGTGGATAGAGACGGCAGAGTTCGGATATGATGGCAATCAACTTCGATCAATGCATTCCGATCAATGTGCGGTATTTTTAAGAGATGCTTGCGTCAAAACTGAACATACATTGTACGTCATTCCGCGCAGAGACGAACCTCTGATTTCTTACCTGTTTATTCCGTTTTACCATTACAATTTGCCTATCGTTGAGGGAAAATATGGCCTTCCCCCTCTTTTTTCTTTCTTTTTTCTTTTTTTTTTACACGATGGGGTAAACCGCTGATCCGGAAAGGTTCTACCAACGTTCGCTAAAATAAACGGAAAAATGATAGGCACCACGGTTTCGACCCCGTAAGTTAGCCAAAGTATTATAATTTATTCCCATTGTATTGCGCAAGACCATTCACGTACACATCTTAAAGACTACTTTAGACTTATGGGATTATAAAATAAAAGTCTGAAAAATATGATTGTGACTTATAGTTTTTTTTTTATTAAATCGTCCCAACCTTTTTCGCTCTCCACATTTCGATCTTTTCTTAAGTTACTTTTCTATAGTAGATCGCTAATCGTGTAAACTTCTCGTATTTCTGTAATTCTTACAATTTTCTCGTTTAGTGCACGCCGATCTTTTTACGAGTTTTTAAACATTTATTTTTTGATATAATTTTTCTGTAATATCCGTAATGCAAATTGATATTTTATTCTTTCTTTCTTCCCTCAGCTCGAAAGATTGTAATTTTTCTTATCTACTTGGAGAGCTCTGCAAAGTTCTTTCCCCCATCCTCCTCATCCCTCCGCCTCTTGTTTAAAATCGCTCATAACTCGAAAGTTACTTGCACCTCGATATTTTTGCCAAGGAAAAATTTTCTTAAATTGGTCGAAAAATTTATAATTGTAAAAGAATTCCGAGATATTGAGACACTCCACAGGTAATTAATAGAAGAGTCAGTCTCTAGAGAAAGCGGCAAATCCAATGAATTAAAGCTATACACAAATAGATTTATAAAGCGAAAAATTGATTAAATAAATAAAAATAAAAATGAAGAAAAAGGATAGTAGTAATATGATAGTAATAGAATAGATATATAAAATAATTGCAGTCGAAATCCAAATATTTCAATTTAAGAGATAATCTCATTTCGCACCTTGATACAATACAGAACACGGTTTCTTCGTCTTTTGAGAAAGTGTTTACTTTGGTAAAATTACCTAATTGCAAGTCGGACCGACGATTATCGATCATATAAACTTGGGCGAAAATATAGGCGCATCGTATGACCGATTGATTTCGGAGTAATGTTTGTAAATGATGCGTTTCCTTCATCCACCCCTTTCCCCTTCCTCCGTCTATCTCTCTTCTTCTCGCGGCATACAAGTTATACAATATACGTATTGCACACGTGCGCGCGCGCACGCACACACACAACACACTTTGAGGTGGCTGATTTTGACAAGATGAAAGACGTGGGTGGAGCATGTCAACATCTTTATGATAAGTACAGTTGCGTTGTCATATCAATGGAAAAGTACGGATCAACGACAAGTCGGTGATCATCGGCGTTTGTCTGGTTTGTCAGTGACTAGTAGATGGATATGTGAGCAAGACGAGAGAGGGCAAGTGAACGAGACGCGACATCCTCTCTCTCAGATACTTATAGTGGTTTAAGAATTTAACGTTGGTTCGACTCGAGAGAGATGCCCGAGGAGAATATTAACGATCAGTATCCAACATGGGTAAGGAAAAGAGGGATTTAATTTGTGTTTTTTTCCGCATATACTTATTTTTATATTGTCCATAATTGACATATAAGCGTACCGCGTTTACTGACCCTAACCTCAACCTCAACCTCTTTTCCAGTCAATATAGTTATATAAATATAGTTGATATAGTAGATTAGACTAGATTAAATAGTTGGCGCTTAAAGAGATCTCCGTCGTAGGTTGGGCTCGTGTACATCTTCAATCTCATCGTTGGAACAGGCGCTTTGACTTTACCCGCTGTATTTAGTCGAGCAGGATGGGCACTTGGATTAAGTGTCATTTTAGTGTTGGCGTTCATCAGGTACTATATATGTAGAAAGAATTTTTTATATCGTAAATCTAAACTTATTCCGTCTCATTAAATTTCTTCTTTCGTATAGTTTTATCACAGTTACATTTGTCATAGAAGCAATGGCATCTGCCAATGCTATTGTTATGTGGAGGCATATGCAACATCGAAAACGCGTAAGTGTTTTCCAACTTGTTTAGCTTTTTATACAGGACGGCTGAGTGTACTACATAGATATTTTAGAAAGATGATGCAAGGTAATGACGTTATGGCAAGAGACAGATTGGCATATTTTATATTAGCAGCGATACATATATGCATCAGTTTGTTATTTGCGCATATAGGTACATGTTGTAACACTGAAAACTGAAATATTTTTCAGGTTTTACAGACGATAAGTGAACCTGGTCTTTCCAATTCAGATTCGGAGGACACTCCATTGGTAGCTCCTCCTTCAACCAGTCCAGATTATTTGGATACGACTTGTAGATATTATGTAATTTGCGATAAAATAGAAATGGGACAGATGGCATCCATCTTTTTTAACAGATTTGGCACTACTCTATTTTATTTATGTTTCGCTATATATCTATATGGAGATTTAAGCATTTATGGTGCAGCAATCGCAAAGTCACTAGCAGATGTCGCCTGTACTTATTTGCCAAAAAATCTTACCTGCAATGACACTGTACCAGATACTGAACTTTGTTGGGAAGGTCCTATGTTTACTCGACTGGATGTGTATAGAATATTCCTGGTATGTCATCGATTTGCAAAATTACACACACATTTTGGCCCTTTTGAATTTGTCGTTTTAATTTTACTGAGATCAAGGACGCATTGTCTATCAAAACGTCCAAACGGTATGATAATGATTGTGCTATTTTTATTTATTTTCAGACCATGTTTGTATTATTATTGGGTCCCTTTGTATTTTTCAATGTTCAAAAGACCAAGTATCTTCAACTACTGACTTCGATAATGCGATGGCTCGCATTCACTATAATGATCGTATATGCTATAAAAAATCTTTTTGTGCACGGCCCTCGTGGCGATCCACCTATCGCAAATTTAGCCGGTAAGCTGAAAGATTGATTAAATAATTATCGTCGATTTATATGATTACTAACAGTAATTAGTGTCATTAGATATGCAGAATAATTGTAAACAAGTATCAACGATATTAACGATACTGTTAATTATCATTTTAGGAATTCCAAGTCTTTTCGGTGCTTGCGTTTACTCCTTCATGTGTCATCATTCGTTACCGGCCTTGGTTACACCAATAACGAACAAGTCTAAACTAAGTCAATTCCTAGCTCTCGATTACACTCTAATCGCTCTCTTTTATTTACTGTTAGCTCTAACTGGCATCTTTGCCTTTCAGCGTTTGGACGATCTTTATACTTTGGACTTTGGACCACGTGGTTTAGGCAATTGTTCCAAGAATGACAATATTTTTATGCTCCTTATGGAATATTTTTTAGCCCTTTTCCCAGTATTTACTTTGAGTACCAGTTTTCCCATTATAGCAATTACACTCCGAAATAATTTGCAGACACTCTTTTTAAAAGAGGATACATCTTACAATTTATGTCTTCAGAAACTCGTCTTCCCCGTCTTGGCGGTAATACCACCATACTTGATCGCGATTATTACCAAAGATCTGTCAATATTAGTTGGTATCACAGGCTCGTACGCTGGAGCAGGAATACAGTATTTAATACCTACATTTTTAGTTTATTATGCCAGACAAAAGACTAATAAGATTATCGGCCTTGGGGTCATGAACAAATTCGCAAGTCCTTTCTCAGGCAGGTATTGGTTAGTTTTCGTCATAGTATGGGCTATTACTTGTATGATTTTAGTATCGGTTAATTTCATACAAATACATTTGCAATCTTGGATCAGTCAATAACAAAATCAATATTATTTATACCAAAAGAGAAAAGAACTTGATGTTCTAAAAGCTCTATCATAGAGACGAATGCAGGATGTTTATGAGAAACTTGACTGCGGACTAACTCCATTGATACGTTTCTTAAAACTTATTACAGCAAAAGTATGGATATCATATACTACGTTTATACAACATCCTTCATTAATCAGGTTTAATAATATACGTTTTGTTATGAAATTGGCCAATTTTGTAGGCATTTCTCTGAAGAATGGAGGAATGACTGAGATTGGCCAGAGCCGTAACTATATATCAATTATAATATAATCGATGTTATTAAATCCGATTATAAGGATGCCGTATAAATGTAGTCGTAGAATTATCCAGAGCCAACAGTCAGTCGATATTGATATGAGCGCTTGGATCGAACTAAAGTAACTAAACTCGTAAAGTGATAGACACGAGATAAGAGCGATGATACAATACGATCTGTAACGTGACTAATCTTTGCGATCTGTGAAAGCCTTCAACGGAATATCGACAAGTAATAAGCTTTTTACAATAAGCCATTATCTAAGCTTTTAAGTCTTAAGTCGTAAGAAATTGACCAATCAGTCGATTATTTTCCTCATATTTGTGATTGGTCAATTTTTTACGACTTAAGACCTAAAGCTTAGATAATGGCTTATTGTAGAAAGCCCAGGAGAAAGGCGATCATTATTTATGGCAGGATACGTATATACGTACATACAGTAAATCGACAATACTTCGATACACACAAGTCGGTGTGTACAAGTCAAATATCGGATAGGTTCAACGGGTTCAACGTAGGAGATATTTAGAAATGTAGAAATCTGTAGAAAAAACAAGGTTTATAACATATATTTTACTTTTTTGTCCCGCGGGACAGAGGTGCGTGATTTTTCTTCATTATATAGATATTCTAATGAATTTCCATCATTGTATTTATATTTTTTTATACGCTAAAATAATTCGTGTTTGTGTATTTTTAATAAAATAATATTAGCGTATGTGATAGTAGAGGCAATAGCAAAAGTATGATATTACGATGATGTTCTTTTTGAGATTGTATTTTTGTACAAAATACGTATGTGAAACTGCCAAAAAGGTATTTGCAGCTTGTCCGTCACATCTGTGTATCTGTAGGTCTGCTTCTTATTGCTGCACACTCTGAACCGGTGCAATAAGTTAAAGTGAAACAAACGTATATTTGTTTCACTTCAACTTATTGCACTGTGTGTACTAATTTAGAAAGTGCAGCAATAAAAAACAGACTTTGTATGTATACAGGTACATACACAGGATACGAGTGTAGCATATAATAAAGAATATTATAACTATGTGCATATGCGCGAGCATGTGTGCCGTGCGCGCAAAAAGCAATTGAAATGGATAATAATAAATAGTTGATTGTATGTACAAGTTCCTCTATCGATTTATTCGCACCAGCACACGCGTGCGCGCAAACATACACATTTCTACGTCCTTGTATTTACTTTAAACTGAGAGATCTGCATGAAACAGATTTTAACAGATATATATATATATATATATATTTCTCTTTAAAATTTCAACGATACCAGACGGTACGATAAAAGCGCGATAAAAGGTATTTTTGATAAAATTTTATGTCCCTGATCAAGTGAATTAGCGTGGAATGCCTTTGTTATTTAAGCACAGTATCTGTGAAATCTTGATTATTATAATGCAACTTTTTATTATTTTTACGCATATCTGTGACAGCAGACTATACAGTAATAATTATAATAAACAAAGGACGAAACAGTATTCTATTCAAAGAGATTACTCGGTGAAATTAGCTTATCACGATAATTTTGTATTTGTTTTCGAATAAATTCCGAGAGGTAACAATGGTATATAGGTGCACAACCTGTGCGCTTAGCAAAAGATTACATTTCATCAATTTTTAATAAGCGAAAATTTGTCGCGTTGTATCTCAAACTGTGAAAGGAAAAAAAAAGTATTGCGCTGTTTTTTTTTACGTACGTAAAATTACTAAAATTACACATACGTGTACGAGATATGTGTCATATGTATACGAACGCAAGTGAACACTTTGGAGTGAACATATATGCTATTAGGTAATGTATATCCTGCACAATTCGGGCACATATTTACAATAAATAGCACTTTCGTGTGTACATGTATGTAGACTATTTGATTTATCCTTTTGGTTTCCAACGAACGAGCTTCTTACTAGATTAAATTAAATTGAGATTTTTGAGTGAGATTAGATGATGGATATCTCCAAGCTGCGTACATTTGGAAATTAGTTTGTACTAGTTATCCTTTCTTTTCATTCGTCAGTCTTGAATATTACGAATACTGCACATACTTATCTATTGATATACAATGTTGTCAAAGTCTTGTAAACTTATTTTTTACCTGATAGTCAACGTGATTTGAAATTGTTGTATTTTGAGATATGTGTCTTCGTGTTTTGGCATTGATTTAAATCGAGATATCAACATGTGTGTTGCATATAACATAGTAATTAAAATTGTTGAGAGTAATTAATTAACAGGCTACACATTCTGTCTTATTCTTTTTTTCTTGGTTACTTAAAAAAAAAATACTCGAATAGCTTGAACAAAAATGTATATCACATATTGTCGCGTGTGTGACAACGGAATTTATATGTGTATGTGTAGATCCAGAGAGCATAATGGCTAGATTCGTTATATTTTGTAAATAGTAATGTTTACAAGAGACTCTTTATAGACTAACTACTAATCAAAGTTTGTTACAAAGAAAAATCCGTGCAGAGGACAAGGACTTTAATTATATATATATATAACTTCTTCTCCTTCTTTTATAAATTAGACAGTTACTCGTAATTATTTAAATAGGGACAGTGCGTATCCTCGTGACCTACACACTCTATTACCGGATCATGCGCGCTGTCCCACATTCCTGGACCACATTGTCGACATAGTCCGGCTAATGTGCAAGGTAATCGCACGAGTTGACGGAAATGATGAAGTAAGCCTCGTGCCTTTCTAAGTATAATGTTCCCATCCATGTACATGGCCAATGAACTGAAATGCAGCAACATTTCGTCCGTTCGAAGATCTTGGGCGATCACGTCGTCCGCATAAACGCACATTATAGCGAGGCAAAGAAATAAGTGGAAATGATCTGTTAAATAATTGACCCAGCAGGCTTCCCACATGACCAACGCTATCTCGGTTGGGAATTCTCTTTTTAAGCACCTGCATCGAGAAAAAAGTGAAATAAAGATAAAATTATGCGCAAACTATATGCCAAAAATTATGTAAAATCTACTATAGTCTAGTGTAGTATAGTTTTCACTATTACATGAGATATATGTACATGTATGGGACATAGTTGTACGTACAAGAGTATCCACCGATGACAAAAAAGAAGCTCCAAGGCATCCGCGTGTTTTTGAAGATGCGTATAAAAATCTGGTACCATGATTCTTACTAATTCTCGAAGATAGCACAGATTTCTGTCCATATCCGTATCCGTCGGAGTGCACACGGCTACCGATCTTTGCATCAAACCCGCGAAACACCAGAAGGCCTCGATTTCAGAGTTGAGTTCGGCTAGTAATGGAGCCAAGAGATCGGACATTCCTTGAGTGTAACCCAAGCGGCAATTGTATACTGCGTAATTGAGTAAAATATTCCTGCGAGAGAAAACGAAAGAAAAAAGAAATAATAACAAGCCACGCAATAATATGATATGCATAACAACAGTATAAATTTGGGGATGAGACGGAAAGAGGAGGGAGAGAAGAGGGGAGGGGAGGGGAGGGGAAGGGAGAGGAGAGAGAAAAGAGATTCTTAGAAGCATTAGAGTAACTTGTCTAGATACTCACTTCATTATTTCGACATTGGGATTACCCTCACCGGCGTAATATGGATTAGCCCTATCCGTGCGAACAACATCTTTCTCCACTATGCACACTACGTTTCGCCAGAAACGCTCGGCTTGCTCTGGATTCATGCTCAGTCTGCGTTTCTGTATTTCTTCGTACTCTTGCTGTCTAATAGCGTCAATCTGCTCTCTATCCTCGTACGTACTTTGATAAGAGTAACAGTGCAACAGGAAAGGCCAAACGATCTTTCGTAGCGCTGGTTCCAAACCCCCAAAAAATATTCCCTTACGAAGAGCGAGGTCGTCCTCCATCTGACCCCGTTCATTCAATAAATCTTTCCAAGCTAGCGACGTGATCATCGGTACTTGACCCTCCTCGGGATGCAGCTCGTCCCGGCTTACTTCCGGCCGACATACCATAAAATGCCTGCGCAACGCGTTACAGTCGTATCAATAGTCGGCGTGAATATATATATATATA